GTACTATGAAGTCATACACCATTAATCTCAGCACTAGAGAGAATTTAAAATGGGAAGGAATAGAGGCTCTTGCTGCTTACTTTGCTTAGTCTGTAGTCACCTAGCCCTGGTAGAGGTAAGACTTCTTTAGTGGCTTGGCTGCTTTGCTTATCTGGTTCTCAGGTTGAGCCCCAATTTCTGTCTCTTGGTTTTTATTATTCATCCTACATTGGGAGGCTCATAACTACTTGCTATTCCAGATCCAGGGGATCTGACACACTCTTGGTGTGTCACCTGTACACACATGGAAAACATTCTCTCTCACACATACAAACATGCACATAAAAATGGAGGTAGACTTGTTTCCAAAAGTCTTAAAGATTTATATAGCAATTAGAGGCAAATGGGTTGCTTTAGATATATAATACAGACTTACACCTAATCATCCTTCATAGGAAACAAAATGGTTAATAAATGATCCTAATGGACATCATTTTCTTTATCAAAAGAGAATGAGATAGTTTTAATAGTCAAAATTATTTTCTGCAATGTAGAAACATCAGAAGGATTTAAGCAAATCTAATTTTGGTGGAAAAATCATCTCTACCCCACCCATTTTCTATTAATGGCAAAGGAAAGAACTGGAGTGCACAGGGTGAGTGGTGGTCAGTGATTTCTTTGATTCTAATTTTGGTTAGAATCTTCTAATCCTTGTTCAAAGGACCATGTTAAATTTGTAGGTCTGTCTTTGTATCTCTTTTTATTAGTAGTACTATCTACATTGTATGATTTTTTTTTTTAGTTATAATCTAGTTATATTGTTTCTCTGGAAAATGATGAACCTTCACTAGTTTTTGTTTTATGAAAATTTACTATATAATGTTATGAGTTCCTTGAGTTTGTTGGTTTGGAGACATTCTGTGGAGAAACTAATAGTTGATTTTTGCATTAAAATAGATTCAATAATCTATCCTTTTTCTCTATCAATTTTATATTATATCCTCTTTTCTTCTTTTAGAAAGAGATCTCTGAATTTAACTTTTTTATTTAGCCTTTTTTTGACTATGAATAATAAAAAATTGTAACCAACCCATTGTACAAAGGTAAACATTCATAATCCATTATTTGGGAATGTGGGTGTCGTTCTCTAGACTACTTCTTGTTGACTGGGGGCACTGGTAATCTTTGGGGGACCCTGAGAAAATTTACGATATGGCCAAGTTCCGACTGGAGTATTCTGTAAGGCTGGATCATCTCAGCCAGCAGTTTTTAAGCTCTGGATACAGAATTCTGAGGAGACTGTAATAGAGGCATTTTTGAAATGCTGGATCACCAAGGTCATCTATTTTTATTGGTGTCTGGTCTCCATGCTCTGAAAATATATAACCTTTTAAGAGTAATTTACATATTTACATTGATACAAGTATAGACTGTTTATTCACTGTACACAGGTCAGTCAAAGATGATTTTCTGTTATGTGTTTGAGCAGGTAAAATACACATCATGTGTCTCGTAGTTTTTTTAAGTTTATTTCTCTATGTCTGTAGTCAGGATTTCAGGGAGTAATCCTCAATCAAACCTGATTTTCTTTAACCTGGAATGAATCCAGAAACTTTCATTTTCTGTTGAAACAAAAGCATAACCCCTTCTCCAAAGTAACATATTTTTTGACTTAAATTTTGAAGTCAACACATTTCAAACTGTATAGGTTGGATTAATCCAGCAACATTTATAATCAAATGTCTCTCAGTAGTTGTTGCTCCTCCCTCAGCAGTCAAACAATGCAAAGACAACACAATAACATACAGTGTCCAATTTGCTGTGTATTTTCCATCTTTACATGGCTTTTTTTATGTTACTTTACTCCCCTTTTAAGAACTTTACTTACTATTTTAAAACTATATATTTCTTCTCTTTTCTTTCCCAAGTCTATGTATAATTTTAAACACACTGCAATACTGCAAACCATTTAGAGGGATTTTTTAAAATTTTCATTTGAATCTGTCTTTACTGAATATCTATATATTTTTTTCTGACCACATGAGTCTTTAAACTGCTAAGCGGCATGACTAGGACCAAAGCAGTGACTTTGGTGGCTGGCTCTGACCCATTCCTTGGCTTTCTTAAATTCTAGTCTCATGCTGTAGGTACTGGTGGAAGCCTCATTTATTGCCCCAACTATGGGGAGGTTCTAGGTCCATGCTGCCACTGAGTAGTGTGTTGTTGTTTGCTTATAAACACCATATTAGTGTTTGGTAATAGAGCCTCTTAAAAGAGGCTCCTGTTTTTGCCACTAACACTGAATAAGGAAGCCATCTCTTAAAGGAGCTTCACCTCTGCTCACTGCCAGCAAACAGAGAGAGCCTGTGGAGAAAAAGTGGTTACCAGAAAGCTGAGTTTGACTCCTTTTTTGTTTGTTTAGAATCCTCTTAAAATTTTCTCAGGTTTAATGTCAAATTTCTTGCCAAACCTTTGAGTGCCATATATAGACATATGTCTCTCTCCTGCCCACCAGCTCCCAAATAACCACTCACAGGCTTAATATTACTTATAAATGCTTGGCCGATAGTTCATTCATGTTACTGGGTAACTCTTACATTTAAATTAACACCTGTTTCTATTTATGCTTTGCCACTTGGTTTATGACTTCTTAACCTCATTTTCTACATGTCCTGATTGTGCAGTGGCTACATGGCTTCTTTCCTGACTCCACCCTTTGCTGTAGGAAATCATAAAGCCAATAGCCTTTAAGTTAACCACCCACTGGTTATGGTTATACTGTTTATGCCAATGTAAAGCATATGTCCACTCTCTTTTCTGGCTGTGGGATTCAGATTCTGTTCTCCGTTCCAGCAAAGGATTCTGATTTGTGAGTCTACCCCTAAATAAGCAAACATCTATTATTCTCAAGTCTGAGCTAGTGCGGGATTTCTTTTAAACATCCTTCTTCAGCCCTTCTTCTTCCCATCATTCTTAGTTTGGCTGCCTTGCCTATACTTTCTGCCCAGCTACTGGACAATCAGCATTTTATTAAACCAGTTGGGTGACAAATCTTTACCGTGTACAAGATGATTATTCCACAGCAGAAGCCCCAGATGTCTGGTTGCCCTGCTGTGTTTCAGTCTTGCATTGGTCCAATCTTTCCTCAGTATGTCTCAATTCCTCTCCTTTGCAATGGGAAAGAGCAGTCTGTGCCATTGTATGTTGGACAGATTTATTTAACTTGTTTTATAATACAGTCAAGAGATTGTCTTGAGTTTCAGAAAAGATTTTGGACATTTGAAGAGTGTAGGGGCTGTTACAGACTATGAAGATCATTGAGGTGACTAAATGCATTTTCTTCCTAGATAACCATGAGTTTATAGTGACCTGAGTCAGAATCTATTCAAGTGAATGAAAAACTCTCAGATAGAATGATGTATTTGAACATGCGTTTCTCCTTGGTGGCTTTCTTTGTGAAGCCTGTGGAAACATTAGTTGCAGGAACCTTTCTGGAAGACATTTCTCATTGGGGATGTGATTTGAGTGTCTATAGTCTCAACCCATTTCCTGTTCTTTGTTTCTACTGTGTTATGATTGAAACTAATCAGCCAGCTTCCTTCTTGTGCTGTCATGATTTCACCACTGTTATAGGTGATATCAATATATCACATAAGATACAACTGAAGTGATTGACATTCAATGATAAGCCATTTTGTTACCCTGATTTTATTTTAATTTTGTTGTTTTTAATTTATTTTTTCTAAAGACAAAGTTTGTCTGAGTAGCCCTTACTGTCCTGAAAGTTGGTCTGTAGACCAGACTGTCCTTGAACACAGAGATTCACCTGACTCTTGCTTCCAAATCTGGTATTAAAGGTGGGACAACATTCCTAGGTTCTTTAAAATATAATTATATGTTTATATAATTGTATGATGGGTCTAGAGTATAGATTTTTGTTCATGTCAAACATACACTGTTTTACTGAGCTGCAACCCCAACTGGAATTTTGCAGTTTGGCAGAGGGTATCATTTTCTTTCCCAGGATGTCAGTATTCATGACATTAATATGCCTGGGGCTCTGAGTAACTGAATTACAGGTGTTTGACATTCTTCCTATTTGTTTTAATTTTTAAATGAATCTGGTTTTTTGCCTGCATATATGGATATGCACAACATGTGCATGTCTTCACAATAGTCAAAGGGTGGTCTTAGAACCCCTGAGCTTGGAATAATGGATAATTGTGATCACTCACATATGTAGTGTCAATTGAGTACACCTATATGCAGGACTTGCAAGAGCTCTTAACTTCTGAACCATCTCTCCTGCCCTGTGTTATTTATGATCAACATTTACTTTGCTAATGTTTTCATCTGTCTATCTGTAGCAGTTTAAATGCACAGTTCCTTTTAATAAGATTTATTAAAGCTGCTATTTAAACTGAAGCACTTCAGATTTCTGGAAGATGAATACAGAACTGGAATAAATGCATAACTTTTTGTAGGATCTTAAGTAAAAAAGAAAAAACCTCTGAGTTCGTCCTATTTTTTGTTTGATTGATGCTTTTTTTCAGGGGAGACAAGCTCTTAATATTTACTTCTTGCTGTTCTGGAACTGATTGCAGAGACTAGACTAACATTCCTCTCAGAGGCAGATATACCTGCCTGTGCCTTCTGAGTACTGGAATTAAAGGCATGGGCCAATACACCCAGCTTACTCATATTTTTTGTAGTTAGTATTTGTTCATACAGTTTCTGTGATGTGTACTCAGTACTGTTTATCTATTTGCTTGTCTTTCTTTGTCTGTTAATAGGCATTTCTCTTGCAACATACTGTTCCATTTGAAATGTTCAGAAATGATAGGGGTAAACCTCCTATTCAGTTTCCTTCTAAAGTGACTTGATTATATTAAAATTCCTGTGTCTTAGAGTAAGTGCGGGAAACACCAGAATTATAAGATTATATTGTTAAAGAAAAAAGTATACATTTACAATGTTGTCAGTATCATGCTTTTTGTTATATAATATACGGTATATTTTAGGATGCAGTGACCTATAATGATGTGCATGTTGACTTCACCTGGGAAGAGTGGTCTTTGCTGGATCATTCCCAGAAGAATCTATACAAAGATGTGATGCTGGAGACCTATATCAACCTCACTGCTATAGGTAATATTGTGAATTTTCCTTCATGTTTTAAAATAATGGGAAAACTATTTCTTACTTATCAATGCTTTTCTGTAATTTTGATTGAGATTGAGGAGAATGAGGTGAATAAGTCAGGCATGGATCTAAGGATCACTGAAGATAACAACTTAAAGTTTGCAGTTTCCAATAATATATCATACATTTCCTGGTGCTATATTTTAGGCTACAAATGGGAAGATCACAATATTGAAGAACATTGTCAAAGTTCTCGAAGACATGGAAGGTAAATGTTTATGTGCAAGCTGATACAAATGTGCCTCTGAAGATAATTTAATGTATCTGGAAGTTTTTTTTTTAAAAAAAAAAGCAGCAGTGTTCATAAGCACAGCTCACAGGGCATTGATGATAATTAAATTCTCACAAAACACTATTCCTCAATGACAGGTAAGTGAATTGTGTTTGCAAGTCATTCTTTTAAGAAGGAAGACAAGGAATCAATGCCTTTACAGATATCACCATTTGAATCATAGCTCCCTCAGATCTATGCTATAGAACTGCCAGTCCATTTAGTTTGATACCTCTTATTTTACAAAAACATATATGTTGAATAGTGATAAGTGTATGTCCAAAACCCAATAAGCAAATAGACTCAGTAAACCTAGTGTGACTCATATAGTTGTTCTGTCTTTGATGTTTAGTGAGATGTGTAGTTAGAGTCACGAGTTAAGGTGGTTTGTTATGGAAAAACTTTAATTCCTATACCATATGTCTGTGAGGAACAGAAAGTCAAACTGTGTGAATGCAATGTGGAAACATTTATTTGTTATTCTTCCTTTAATTACTCTGGATACAAGCCATATGAGCATAGGGATATGGAAAGAAGCAATGTACCTCTCCCCACCTCAGAACAATTAGAAGATATGTAGTAGTCCCCCAGGTTGAGTAGACTTGTTGATTGTGAGTCAAGATTACAAGTAATTAGTTTTCTAGCTTCATTGAGAATACATCAACGAACTCATTGCAAAAAAGCCCTAGGAGTATTGGGAATGTGAACAATTCTGTTTGTCCTGGTTCACTTTACAAATTTAATATGACTCACAGTATAGGAAAATTTATCAATGTAATTAGTAGAATAAAGATCTGAATTCTTCCAGTTCTCTTCAAATATGTGAAAAATCTCATAGAGAAAGTAGATGCCATAAATGTGAGCCAGTTACACCACAGGAGCCAGGCTCCTACCACCACAGGTTTCTTCCCATACACAAAACAACCCTTAATAAAGGAGAACAAAATGAGTATAAACAAAGTGATAAAAGATTAATATCCAATTACTCTATACAATTAGACCAAATTGTAAAATTAATTCATTAAGATATAAAGATTCAACAGTGTTATGAATGTGGTAAAACTTTTACATGTGTCAATTAACCTTGCAGGTATGACAGAAATCATACTGAAGAGAAACCCTCTGAATATACTCAATGTGTTGAAGCCTTTGCATATCAAAGTCATCTTCAACGTCATAAAAGAATCCATACTGGAGTGAAACCCTCTGAAGATATTCAATATGATGAAGCCTTTGCATGCCGTAGTCATCTCCAAATACATAAAGGAACACATACTGAAGAGAAATCCTATGAATGTAATCAGTGCATTAAAGGATTTGCATGTCACAGTCATCTTCAAATACATAAAAAAACACATACTGGAGAGAAACCCTATGAATGCAACCAGTGTGGTAAAGCCTTTGCACGTCAAAGTTGTCTCCAAATACATAAAAGAATACATACTGGAGAGAAACCCTATGAATGTACTCAATGTGGTAAAACCTTTGCACATCCAAGTAATCTCCAAGTACATAAAAGAACACATACTGGAGACAAACCCTATGAATGTAATGAATGTGGTAAAGCTTTTGTATGTCAAAACCGTCTCCGAATCCATAAAAGAACACATACAGGAGAGAAACCGTATGAATGTAATCAATGTGGTAAAGCATTTGCATGTCATAGTTATCTTCAAATCCATAAAAGAACACATACTGGAGAGAAACCCTATGAATGTAATCAGTGTGGTAAAGGCTTTACATCTCCCAGTTATCTTCATATTCATGAAAGAACACATACTGGAGAGAAACCTTATGAATGTAATCAATGTGGTAAAGGCTTTACATGTCACAGTCAACTTCAAAATCATGAAAGAACACATACTGGAGAGAAACCATATGAATGTAATCAATGTGGTAAAGCATTTGCATGTCATAGTCATCTTCAAATGCATAAAAGAACACATACTGGAGAGAAACCCTATGAATGTAATCAGTGTGGTAAAGCCTTTGCACAACACAATCATCTTCAAAGGCATAGAAGAACACATACTGGAGAAAAGCCCTATGAATGTAATCAATGTGGTAAAGCCTTTGCATCTCAAAGTAATCTCCAAATACATAAAAGAACACATACTGGAGAGAAACCATATGAATGTAATCAATGTGGTAAAGCCTTTGCACTTCAGAGTCATTATCGAAGTCATGAAAGAACACATACTGGGGAAAAACCCTATGAATGTAATCAGTGTGGTAAAGCTTTTGCACACCAGTTTCATTATCGAAGGCATGAAAGAACACATACTGGAGAGAAACCTTATGAATGTAGTCATTGTGGTAAAGCTTTTGCACGTCAGTGTAGTCTCCAAATACATAAAAGAACACATACTGGAGAGAAACCCTATGAATGTACTCAATGTGGTAAAGCCTTCACTTGTCAAAGTAGTCTCCAAATACATAAAAGAATACATACTAGAGAGAAACCCTATGAATGTAGTCAATGTGGTAAAGCTTTTTCACAACACAGTAGTCTTAAAATACATAAAAGAACACATGCTGGAGATAAATCCAATATATGTAATCAATGTGATAAAGCCTTTGTATCAGAAACCTTTGAAAACATAAGAAAAAAATCATACTGCGAAGAAACCACTTAAATATAATCAGTGTTGCAAAGTTTTGCAAGTCATGGTAGTCTTTATACAAGATTAAAAATTTAGTGTCTAGTTTGTCTATTAAAACCCCTGAACATAAAATTAGACTTTAGGATTCTGACAAGACTCATACTGAAGGTACTCTGAATATAAGTGATTTGGTAAGATCTTTAGCCAATACATTTACATTCAGTTACGCAACATTATTCCGTGCTACATTCACGGCTGTCTCGCCAGTGTAGCAGAAATGCTGACTGGATGGGCAAATATTGCCGGAAGGATCAGGATCCGCGCTTCTCGGTGTTGTGTCCTGGGCTGTCCCCTGGCAATCAGTTGTGGTGTAATGCTACCTGAGTTGCCATTTGTACTGACCAACCTGACCTGACTGTACTTGGTGCTATATGTCTGTCTTTTCCCTTGTCTGTGTGTTCTTTGTGATCCTTGCATATTGCTAACAGATCAGACTATTCCAGGCAGTTGCAGATACAAACAAGACTGCTGAGGACATTTTTGAGTTTTGCGCCCCTATTCATTAAAGCCTTTAAAGAAATAGCCAGTTCTGAAAATAGGGAAGTCATCGTTAAAATAATTCCTTAATGATGTGGAGCAAAAGGAGTTGCTCTTATCAGGAGAAACCTTAGAAGCCTTCTGTAGGAAAATAGCTGCAGCAACACTAGATGTTTGCCTGAGAATTACGTGCAGGAGGCCTATGCAGCCTTCATTATGGCCAGAATAAACCTAGGCTAATTACAACATCTGACCCTGAGAGTCAGGGAGGGAAGAAAGTTGAGATTTATGGTATGAAACCAGATTCAGACAAGTTTGAGATCATGTCTAAAATTTCCTAGCAGAAAGTTTTCCCAGGAAGATAGTGGCCTTCTCCTCTCACACCCCAAGATATTCTGAGCACAAGGTCACTTAGGCCAGCCAGCCGCCTGGTACAGACTGGGCAAAAGTCCTTGTGCCCAATTCAAAGCATTTTCAAAGATTCTTTTTGTAAACTGTTCTATGCTTTTTTTTTTATGATCTGATGATGTATGCCTTTGCCAAGTTCTTTGTTTGTAATAATATAAAAACCTCACACTGAATAAGTAAAACACAGCAGCATTTTCAAAAATACATTGAGAGTGACTGTCTGTCAATTTCCTCTGCCGTATCCTGAAATCTTCCGTCCTTCGCCCTGATTCCCTCACGTAGCAATTCTGGGAAAAAAAAAACTGGCAATATAAACAATCTGTTCAAGCATTCTGATATTCCTCTTTATTTTGTTTACACATGGACAAAAGGCCTATGAATTTGAATTTAAATAATAAGATAACCCTTTTAGATTTCATACTTCTCTTTAATTACATGAGATAATGAATCCAGGTATAAAACTTAATGGATGTGTATTAGTGCCTTTTCTATTGCTGTGATAAAACTTCGTGTCTAAGTGAACTTATAGAAGAGTTTTAATTTGGCCTTAGTTCAAGAGTGATACAGGACTGCTGTGAAGGTGGCATGGAAACAGGTGTCAGACATGACAGCTAAGGTGGGAAAGTAAGAATTCACATCCTTAATCTGCAGCATGAAGTAGAAATTATAAACTGAATATGATGTGTAGATATAAACTCTTAGGTCAATCTCCATTGATAAAGCAGCATTGTCTAAATCTTCCCTATAATACCACAGACTGAGAGTGGTTGATTTCTCTGACTTCAAGCCTACATGCTTGCTTTCTGTTGCATGAACCAATTCATGATGGAGAAATAAATACTCTGTGAACCTTTAGGTGTCTCAACATCTATATGTTACAGGAATTACAAGAGAAAACATTCGTAAGTGAAACTTAATTTAAAGATTTGTTTTCATTTTAATTTTGCTATGGCAGTATGTCTTTGTATGGTATTGCATTCTGGATCCCAAGAAGGTTAGACCTTTAAGGCATCTTGTAGCAGGAATTATTGGAAGTAGTCAAAAACCTAATCTTGGTGCTGGGAATGGACTTGTATTAAAGCCTCATCCATGTGTCTAGCCCTGTAAATATCTTAAAGTTTTTCTGTATCACCTTGATATCCTTAAATAGGGAGGAACTCATACAATAGAAAAGCCCTATTCATGTAAATGATTTGGTAAAAACTTTAGACATCACAGTTGTCTTCAGTTTCAAGAAAACAAAACTTGTCTTATCTCTTTTTCATTGTAACCTTGAAGTAAGTAAATTATTAACTAAGTTCGTTAAAGACTGTTGTGAAGATCACTTTGTGACTTCTATTTTGCAACATTTAAAGTAGATATTAAAGTATACTATATGTGTGGCAAATCCATTTAGTGAAGTTTATTTTGTGGCCTTTATAATCCTTCTGTGGCTTTTGTTAATCTTCTATTGTGCTTTCACAGTGAGAGAAATTTTCGCTGCAATGTATAGAATGGGATGGCCATCTTCTAAGTGATCCATTTCTGTTTAAATATCAGGCAGTGTGTGTTCATACTTTTCAAGTAAGGGTGTCTGTGAAAAGGTGTTGGGTTTTTGATCCTGGTATTATTTCTCACATTTTTCCACAGATTCTCTTGAAATGTTGTTTGTTATGCAATCTGGCTTGGATGTCAGTAATTAGCCAGGGATACATTTGAACTCATGATCTTCATGTATCAGTCTCCTAAATACAGTTCTAAGGGGAGATGATATTTTCCCATTTGCTGTTTTGTCAAAATGTTTTAACAATGTTAATGTTAAAATACTTCATAGAGAATATAGAAAAAACATTAAATACCCCATGTGTGTATTTAAAGACACATTTTCATCTATCAGGAAGAGATATAATAAGGTCAGATAGTCATCAATCAACTGTGTATTTCACAATATAATTTAATGTGCTATGGATATGCAAAGATAATTTGAAGTTTTATTTATCTTCACACCTTCATCAGTTATCTATTTGGCAAATCATTTTATTCCTTTTAAATAAATTATTCAGAGATGCCAGATAATGTTATTGCAATGAGATTTATTTTAAGACAAAATTTCTGGTGTGTGTGTGTGTGTTTTAATGTGACTATGGGTTTTTAGGCCATTACAGATATGTAGAAACAAGAACTTTGGAGAGTCTACTTTTGTCCATCTTCATATGGTGATCAAGATGAGGTCACAGCCTTGTACAACATAAACATTTGGAACAAAGTTGTCTCATTGATGCTCAAATGAGATTAGTTGAAATATTACATCAGGAAAGTATTTTCAGATTGTAAACATTTTATTTGAAAGGTAATGGAAAACAGGAAAAAATCCATAATATATCCTACTAACAAGTGAAAATGATATACTTCTATCTTTTGTTTTTCCTTTTTGTGTTTAGAATGTGTTAGTTTATTTTGAGGGCCAAACACATGTCCATAACCCTTTTTCAAAGCCACAAGTGAAAGCCAGAGAGTAATTTCTTATGAGTAAAGGTTGTTGCTGCTGAACCTGAGGTCCTGAGTTCAATCTCTAAGAAATCCATATTACTCCTACATATTTTTCCTCTTATTTCTATACTTGTGGCATCTACACCCTCACACACCAGCACATACATAAATAATCTTAAAACCCAAAGAAGTACCATTGAGGTCACTTGCAGCCAACTGATTCCCTGGCTTTCATCTCTGTAAAATTGAGGGCTGGCTTGTTGGAGTATCTGTCCTGCCTGGTTCCCACAGCTGTTTAGCCCCAAAGAAAATCACACAGAGGTCTCCATAAATTATAAGCTGATTGGACCATTAGCTCAGGTTTCTTATTAGCTCTTAATACTTATATTAACCCATTATCCTGATCTATTTTAGCCATATGGCTCGGTACCTTTTTCAGCTGGCAGGTCACATCCTGCTTCCTTGGTGGTCTGCACAGGACTGAGAGGAATCAGCTTCCTCCTTCCCAGAATTCTCCTGTTCTCATTGCATCACCTCTACTTCCTGTCTGGTTTTCCTGCCTATACTTCCTTCCTGGCCAATCAGCATTTATTTAATATATGATTAATCAAACTGAATGCCTCTTCCCTCTGGATTATGCAAAAAGTGTGGCAAAGGCAGACATTGGAACAATGAATGTAGGTCAACAAGGGATAGTCAAGGTAACCCTTCTTTGTTGTTTGGAAACTTTTAGAGACCTCTTGCAGGTCCCCATGTCAAATTTGGTTGAGTTGTTTCCTGTCATAGTGGGTGAAACTCCTTCCCAAAACAAAGAACCTAATGCCTATTAAAAGAAATCATACTGCTTTGAAAAGTAGAAAAGCAATAGAAGAGAGAACAAAAAATTCAGGAGAACAAAAAACAATATTTTGACAAACTTCTATAAAAGGACAAAGACTAAAATTAAAAATGTGAATAAATGACATTGTCATGGAGGTCTTACAGTCACAGATGTGGGTGTCAAAGTAATTACACCAGAATCTTGGCATCCAAGTTGACCTCTTCAGGAGGTAAATGTTGAGCTTTTAGGGACTTGAACTTTATCTCAGATAAAACAGAGTACAAGATGAGTCAAATGTATAGGGCAAGAAGGTCAGAGAAGAAAGTTAAAGCCATACGTGGCTAACACAGCAATGGAGTTATGATAACATGATTTATTACAGCAATAGAATACTCAGATTATCATTCCTCCAATCTCAGAAACAAACCATAAATTAACATATGTTTCTGGGAAAAATATTAGAAGGTATTATAAAGAATAGTCACTGGTCACTCAGGTTATACAAGAACAGGACACAACAGCTGCTGATCTTTTCAAAGTCACCAACAGCCCTACCTTTGAAATGTTTGACAGGCCAGGCAGTGGTGGTGCATGCCTTTAATCCCAGCACTGGGGAGGAAGAGGCAGATAGATCTTTGTGAGTTTGAGGCCAGCCTGGTCTACAAGAGCTAGGACAGGCTCCAAAGCTACAGAGAAACCGTTTCGAAAAACCAAAATGAAAAAAAATGGTTGACTGTTAGAGCCTGTGGCCCCCAACATAGATAACTATTTTCCCTAACTGGACTGATACGGAGCCACAAGGAATAACCAGACACAGCTTACACGGTCATCATGGAAGGGCCTCTCAGGGTTCTTTTTTTCTCCCTGAAGATCTACCCGCATATATTATCAAACATCTCTTAATCACCCCCCAACCAAGGTGGATACCTCATTAATATTCTCTTTCAGGGGAACATGCGGGTAGGGACTGCACCTGCTGTTAGGTCATCAGCTTTAGCAAACACCTCTCCCCATGCGATCTACATTCATAACAAAAGAGAAGGAGTAGCAGCACATTCTGGCTATTATTAAGGTTAGTGACTGGCTGTCTGCAGGTCTACGTGACCATATCAGGTGGGCCTATGACTTCAGAGCCTGGCTGCCACACCATAAAGAAATATGGGCCTACAGTTGACAGGTAAACCTGTATGGAATAAACAGAGAATAACAGAGAAACTG